AGCATCTACATTAGCAAATGGATCAATATTAGTTGTTGGTGGATATAACGGTTCTAGTTATCTCAACAGTGCTGAATTGTACAATCCATCAACAGGTATTTGGACAATGACAGGAAGCATGAGTATCGGACGACAACTTCACACAGCATCTATATTAGCAAATGGATCAATATTAGTAGTTGGTGGACGTAACAATGGTGTTTATCTCAACAGTGCTGAATTGTACAACCCATCAACAGGTATTTGGACAACAACACGAAATATGAGTTTCGCACGACAAGATCATACAGCATCTACATTAGCAAGTGGATCAATATTAGTTGTTGGTGGATATAGCGATACTGGTGGTTATCTCAGCAGTGCTGAATTGTACAATCCATCCACAGGCACTTGGATAACCATAGCAAACATGAATATCGCACGACATTATCACACAGCATCTACATTAGCAAATGGAACAATATTAGTTGCGGCTGGAGAGAACACCGGTGGTACTATCAATAGTGCTGAGCTTTATTAATCGATATAGACAAAATGACACTTTCTTTTGTGAACTGAATTATAATTTTTCTTTTATATAATCAAACTATTTAATCATGCACATTGCTTAATAAATTATCATTCACTAAATAATATATGAGTTGGAGTAATATTTCGAAGTGATGTTGTATGGCGGTTGTTGGAAAATAGCTATAGCTGATAAAAGACAGATCACTATTTGTACGGCTGAGTGAATATAAGTACAGATATGAAGAATATTAACCATTCCTTGTTACTAACAAGTAACGCTCGTCCGAGGACTCGTTTAGCTCTTTCTCGTAAAAAGCCATTTTCTTCACATTTACTGGAACAACTAATGAAAACCGTAAAAAATTGATTTTCGATGTTTTTTTACCCTGCGGACAGAGAAGCAATCACGCAATCAGACAATTTATGTTTACTGGACTCTTCTCTACGAGAAAGAGAACTACATGTATTGTGATGAGCAGAGATGGGCAAGTCAAGTCACTTTTGGACTTGACTTGACTTGAAACATATATGACTTGACCTGACTTGACTTGAAATTAAGCCATAAACTCAAGTCAAGTCAAAAAGCATATATGAAGAAGTTTCAATATACTTTTTTTTTGTATTTTCCTAGTCTTATTACAGAATCAGAATGTAAAAGATAAATATAGTTAAAAATGAGAGTTTTGCTAAAAACTAACTCTAAATAACCGGAAATTTGTATTCTAAAGTTTTATTTAATAGAAGGATTTTCTATAATAAGCTTTGACTTGAAACATGACTTGACTTGACCTGAAATATATGTGACTTGACTGGACTTGACTTGAATTGGTTTGCGACTTGACTAGACTTGACTTGTGAAAACGTCTGACTTGCCCATCTCTGGTGATGAGAGTGAGTTTACATGTGATGATAACGTATGAATAATCGTTCTCAAATGAATATCAGAGATGAAGAATATGTTGAAACAAATCAATTTTTATCCACCCACACCCGTTTTGATCAAATAGTTTGATGTGTTTAATTATTGTGTTTTATAAAGTGGATATATTTGATGTTCTTATTATATGTATAAAGGAAGTGTTGCATATACCCCCCGCGAGATTTCTTTCCTTTCAATTATTTTTTGGTAGAGACCCATGTGAGGATACATGATCACCAAACCAGAACGTGGACTTTTTCTGTTTTAGAAAAAAATCAATACTTTATGAAATAGGTCATGTTCAATAAAATATTGACTATTTTATTATATCATACCCTATATCTCAGCTATAGTTGCATGAATAGGTACCAAATTTTTACTGTATATGGGTAGTTCCACCGGAAATCTCCCACCATATACAAAAGTATTTCCGATCAAGCTGAAAGTTTCAGCGATTGAAGCCCTTAGTGCCCTAACTATATGGTAAAAATATTAGCCTCCTAGCTCTTCGGCATCCTACTTTTTTTTATACCACAAAATTCAATTTTTTAGGACCTTGATGATTTTTTTTCATTTTTTCAATTTTGAGGTACCCATTTTTTTACCAAAGCATGATCGTCAGGTCAAGTCTTATATATGGTTTTGAAATACTAAGTTCATAGATTGTTATCATCGGTAGATCGCCCCCTTAGCATTATTATTATACGCTGGAGTCATATGCAACATTTTGAAAAAAATGAAAAAAGTCAAAAATGACCTATTTCGTGTATAGGGCTAAATATAGAAATGTCAATGATGGATGACCGATACTATGTAGATTTTATATATTGATCTGTTACCTTTCAAATGATATAGGAAACATTTCTTCAAAACATCTTCATAGCGAAATAGCCAGGGGTACACGGGGACCCCCAACTGACATATAGTGAAAATGACTATATTGTGATGAACTTTTCTCTCTTATGCAGAATTTTGGAGCATATCTGCCACCTGTATATTAAAGTACTAACCTTAGTATACAAACTAACTGGTATAGTTCTCTCGCCGTTTTAGAATTGCTTGAAATATCAGGGTCTGAAAAGTCGTATTTTTCAAGTCATTTTTACTATATAAGTATTAGAATTCGTCCGTTTATGACGTGATTTATAAACGAGAAAACGTC